GGGGGGGGGGTAGAGCAGCAGGGGGTTTAGGGTACATTTAATCCGATTTCAACTTTAATTATCCTTTAATATTACGTTACAACGTTACGATCCTTTAAAAGAATTATATTTTTCTATCTTTTTTATTCGTTCACTTTTAATTAATTAAAAAAAAAAAATAACAAAAAAATAGGAGGAGGGTGGGAATTGAAGGGACAAATAAAATAATCCTCGATAACTCACATCTGTGTGACACGACACACTATACGCCCCAATATAAATTTGTCCCCACTGTTCTACACACAATTCCGTGTGTGGTGTTTCCTCTTCTACGGTCGCTTGGTGACTCGCGCGCGCGCGCGATCTTTTTAACTTTTTATCCTTGCTTTTGTTTTTTTGTTTAACGTTCGGAGACCAATCGAGAGGGAGAACACGATGATGATGGGGAATAGTAGGGTTGTGTAGTAAGGAACAAGAATAAGAAGAAGAAGAAGAAGAAGAAGAAAGGAGAAGTAGTGAAAAAGGGGTCGGGGGAAGGAGAGAGGAAAAGGGGGGTGATGGTGGTGGTGGTGGTGGTGGTGTAGGGTACGGTAGGGCAAGGGGGTGGGAGTGAGGAGAAAATATGGGTGAAATGGGTGGGAGAAAGAACACACGGATAATGTATATATGTTATGTTTGTGTATGTGTGAGGGTAAATGTGCGGGTGTTAAGAGAGAAAGGAAAGAAATATATACAGAAAGTAAAATAGTAATACGTATACCGTGTATTACATACACACAGACACATACACATATGCCACCGGTAAAGTTCCCATATATAATTGTAGTAATGTAACACGTTTCTGTATATATATATATATATATATATATATATATATGTATGTGTATGTGTATATAAGTATTCTTGTTGATGATGTGAAGAGTGGGAAGTACAGTGGTCACGAGTTGTTCGTGTCTATCTATCTACTATCCTTACTACGAATGCACTTTACCACGCCTGCGTCTACTTCGGCTAACGCTCGGCTACTGACCGAATCTTTCCGAACGTGTTCTCTTATTCTTAGTAGTGCCATCTATCAGGAACTAGCGGAAACTACGGGAAATACCGTATCGTGGCGCTGATGGTACTCTTTTATCGAAACTAATCGATAAACCAATCACGGATTGGCGCTTTATTTGAATTGTTTACGTATTTATTATTTATTTTAAGAAAAATAAAAGAAAAAGGATTGAAATATGTTTGTTGTTATTCAATATTTGATTTATATATAATCATTTTTAATAAATAGGTATCTTAGGGAATTTGGACATATTCAAATAGAACTAGAACTTATCGTTTTGATTAATTGGACGTTTCGTCCCTATATTGGGACTTCTTCAGCACCTTAATTACTAAAGTTCAGCGTCTTTTTTTATACACATTTTATATACATCTAAAGTTAGTATAGTGTTTTGAATATTACAAAAATGTATGTCTGTTTAAATAAAACGAAATTCTAGTTATTTTGAATGTCCAAATTCCCTACGATACCTATTTATTAATAATTTTATTTTTGGATAAGAGAAATAACTAATCATTTTTAATATTAATACTTTTTGTTTCCTTTTTTTATTCTCTTCGTTTTATTTTTTTTTGTATTATCACTTTGAGACACTTCGATTATTATTTTTATTTTAATTTACGTTAGTTAATGAAAAATATTGATTTCAATTATCGATACAATCGAGAGCACGTTTTTTTTATGAGTATCATCTTTTCTTTTCGTTTCTTTTCTTTTCTTTTCCTTTTCCTTTTTCCTATTCGTTCGTCGAAGCAGGAAATTATTTACTACGCCGACCGTACAAGAGTAATCAACGTAACGAGACTAATCAAGCGACTATGGGTTATTATCGAAACTTTTCTACGCCGCGGCAGGCACACAACGTATGCCCGTTGTATTCGCGAGATACATATACGTCATAAAAAAAACTATACATGCATACGCAGATACATACATACATACATAGATAAATAGATAGATGAATATACACGTGTAATATGTGTAAACACGTTTCTTTTACTAAAATGTCCTTGTAGATGTTATTTAGCTAACGATAAATGTTGACTACGAGGAAGAATCGCAATTAATGTCTAATAATAAGTCATAGTAATGTCTCGGTCACGCGAGTTTTTTAAAAAAAGATACAAACAAAACTTGCAATGAGAGAGAAAAGATTTAAAAAAAAATCAAAAAAATCAAAAATACAAAGTAGGAAAGAAGAAAAGGGAAACTAAAAAAGGAATGAAATATGAGAATAGAAAAAGAAATAATTCGATAAGGTTAAAAATATTCTATCAAGAACAACGATGACGAATTGACAGATCTCGATTAGATTTTATTTTATTTTTTGTTTTTTTTTTGTTTTGTTTAAAAAAAGAAAATAAATTCTCGACTCCTCGTCATCATCATCATCATCATCATCATCATCTTTTATCTTTCTCTCAGGAGTATACAATTACGGATGCGGCGAACTGGGAGTTCGCATTACCACCTCAAAGTTTCCACCTACGTACAGAATTCTCTTTAATAGATGACTACTTATCTCACCGTACGATCATTATCACGTTTGATCCGGTTAAACGAGAAGACATCGTGTCGGGAATATATTATGTTATATATATCCTCGTCATTGGTTACTATTAAAACGAATTACGTTAATCGTTCATTAGCAAGTAACAATATTTTCTTTTAATAAGAAATTAAGATACTTATAGATTATATTTAAATAAGAGATAGAATAA